AAAAAATAACAATAAATAAATAAATAAATATAATGACCAATTAACCTGGAGACACATCAAATTCACCATCAGCACACCCCAACCGGAACCCACCAGCACCGACTCTATACTTTTCAATCTGAAAAATAATCCGATCCAATATCCGCATATCCTCTTCGGCTCGAACAACACAACAGACCAATCCCGTGGCAACTTCCGGGTCGACATAAACATCTTCCGAGTAGAAAAGGTTCGGGTTAAAGAAGTAACCCCCGGCATGAAGAGGACTGTACAGAAAACCGGACCACACTTCGTCAATCACTTTCCAGAACCGCTTGTACTCACATCTCTTCTCACCCAACTGCTTTCTGATACTCTCTTTCACCTGGTCAATCGTCTCGTATATATAACCAATCTGATCCTTTTTGTTCTTATCCATCCACTCCACAACCATCACGAGTGGCATAGCTGCCCGAAGTGTGGTCTTCACCCCACTCCAGAAAGATCGGTCTCCGATCAAGCTGGCTACCCTTTTCCCGTTTTCTGTCAAGGAAAATTCCGAACCGGGAGAGAGAAACATGCTCTTCAGCTCTTCCGCTTGCGAGCAGAGATTCTCGAGCGTCATGAAGGGCTCCATCGAACTCAGTCTCGATTGCTCGGTCGATTTTCCAAGTTGTTTTCGTGCGTTCGGGTTGCCATGGATGAACTCCGTGACGATTCTCAACCGGTCGAGCGTCTCCCGAATGGGGCTTATCGACTTGATTTTCTCTAGCATGAGCTCGATGCAACGGGACGAGTCGACTGTCCAAAAAATCGAGCGGTGCCGCTCCATTAACTGCCAGCCAACCTCCTTCATGAAGGATGAAATCGAGTAGGTCATGATCTGGACAACATTAGCGGGTCCCACTTCCTCTAGTATCCGATCGAGGAACGCCAGCATGGCGTCTTTGTTCTCTATGTAGTCCGAAATATCGGACGAGTGTAAGTAGACAGTGCCCTTTGGGCTCTCGACCAGAACATTCACCAGCTCACGGCCCGTTTTGTCGGTCCACCCATCGAGCAGAATCGTGCAGCCTGTCTCGCTCCACGAGCTTCGAATTCTGTCGAGGTATTCGAGGATTTCTCCCATGGCATCGTCAAAGATCCATCCCTTTAGCTCCCGGCGGGTCGGGATTTCGATAGGGCGGTTTGTGTTTTCGGAGAAATGGGCAATCATTCTCCGGAATGCGGGCGAGCTGACGGCGTCGATATCAAAACCATTCTCGTAAAAGAATCGGCCGATGAACTTTTTTGTTTTTCTCGATGTTGGAGAATCGTCAGGAGCACCAGATGATGAAGAAGTAGTTTTTGATGATTTAACTTTCCGACGCTTTAAATCTGCAAGTGTTTGATTGAAATCGGGATCGGTTGCGATGGTTATATGGCAGGAGGAGTTCCTCTTCTTGGGACCATTTTTTGGTTTCCGGTTTTCTCTCAACTCGTCTGTTTTATTCCTCATTTTCTTGTGTAGTTGAGTTGTAAAAGCATGTAATGAGTCCAGCAATTTCTGTTAAGAGGTAGATGCATAAAATATGAATGTAACCATGAGGTAGATTCTTTTTTTTTTTTTTTTTT